TTTTGAATAACATAAATATTGAGGTTGGTGGAATTTGTGTTGTCCAACACACTGTAGATGAGGATCAAGCAATCATCTGAAGGACAGAATGGAGCAAAAGATCAGCCTCTTTAGAGCAAGAGCTAATGCCGCAGCAGCATGCCTTTGAACTTTGTTTGTATCAGCGACTCTCCCTCCTCTCTAACCCACTGCCTTTAGGCTAGAAATAACTTGTCAGTTCTGCCTGTTCACCAGTCCACTGACTATCTGAGGAATGTAGAATTAGCAGCTACTATATTCACAACATCCAGTTCCTTATAATAAATATTTTTCCTCTCTGTATAATAAAAACTCTGTTTCTCTTTAGAATCTGATCTAATATATCCTTCATGCTTCCTTGAGGCTTCTGATTTTTTTGGTACCTATAGTTTCACTAGAAATGAATTCATAATATTGGGTTGTCAGTAAAGAGATGACACAACTCAGAAGCCACTGGACAAAGCAAAATGTACTTCTTCAAAACAGTGTGCAATCAACAAAGAGTCCAGTAAGTAAGCTCACTGGGCAGGAAGTCCTCTCAGATTTTATCTCAAACATAACACTGTTCTCCTACCTGGATTGCTGAGTTTCAGGTTCACAGTCTACACATTTGGGTAATTTGAATGCTGACAGATCAGGTAAAGAGCCTTAGAGGCAAGAAGTTTAAAGGTTCAGTAAAACAATACCTGTTTTAGGTCATAAACGTCAGAACCAGGACATCTGTGAAGATCGGAACTTGTTCAGCTATGAAAAACAACGCTTTGTTCATAACCTGACTTCTTATGAAGTCAAGTGGAGCTCATAAAGAATATGGGAAACAAGTTAGGGAGACTAACATCTGTAACGGTGGCGGTTATTGATTAAACTCTTTGACAGAAAAGACCCAATCTAAGTTCATTTGTATAGTTTGATGTTTATTTTTAGAAATGTTTGGCCATTATATTTTCAAATACTTCTACTGGAGTCTCTCTTTAGTCTTCTTATGAAAATCAGATTACATGTTCATGAGACAGATTTTTTTTTGTAAAACTATTGGGGATACATTTATTTCTGCTTTGTTACCATTAAATTAATTGCTCTGATTTTCTTATCTTCAAGTTCATTGATAAAATGAATCATCATATAATTACTTTCATCATCATATAATTACTGATGATCCCATAGAAGGAAAACTTTTTCCTTAAATATTGTAAGTGTGAAAATGTGTTTTTATTTCTAGAATTTCATTGCATAATTCCTCATAGTTTCCATTTTTCTAATGGAAAAATTGATAATTTATACATGTTGGTTTTCCTGTATAGTTGAACTTTCATGCCAGTACTTTTGAAGGGTCTATAGTCACAGACTACCAGAAACACCTCAATTTATAAAAGCAGATTTTGTAAGTTTTATAAGGATTCAGTAAAGGCATGCAGAAAAGACTTTGAGAAAGAATGCATATCCTTTCATTGTAGGGATCTCAGCTTTTTCCAGTAGTTCTTGGTCAGTTTATTTATTTATTTAGTTAATTAATTTATTTCACTTTTTTGTTACCAATTCACAATGCAGAACAATCATGGCTGAGGTGAACATAGCATAGGTATACTTTGCCTCCAATTTCTAAACAGTCAGTGTAAGAACAGTCTGAGATAATACCAGGAAGCCTCCATGGTCAGTTTTAATAATTCTATATGTCAGTTGATTTCTCCTTATCTGTTCATAAGATGAACAAATTTTCTCCTACACTCTGTTCAAAAGAGTTCATGTATCTTATCTCCATTTGAAGATGTTTATCTCCTAGGAACTGAGATTGTGTGTTTTTGACACAGATCTCTGCTAGACTCACCAAAAGTCAGTGTTTTATAATTATCTGGCTTTTGAGATGGTTAGATTTGGTGGTATATACTTTACAGCTTTCCAAATCCTGTGAGGAAGTAGAATTTATGTAAGCCCCTTTATACCTTATCCAGTGTATGATTTCAAATACGTCCTTTCTGGGTAGCTCCACTTCCACCATGCAATGTTTCTGAGGTTCTTGGTCTCCTCATTGGTAAAGCAATGAAATCTCAGAATCAGTATAGTTTAACTTCTCTCAAGCACTCAGCTCCAAAATGATGTTCTTCTCTTTCCTTTGTTCCCTCCCTCCTTTCTTTTTATTCTGTCTTTCTTCTTTTTCTCCTCACTAAAAAATTTGTCTTTGTGTTTTTAACTACACAGACTCAAAATTTGAAAATTCTTCATGACTCAATGAGTAAAACAGATTATCAAGTCTTGTTGAAATGACATTTCTAATATTTTAAATGTAAACATTTTCCTCTTTTTTTCTGCCATTTATTTAATGAGGCTGTTCAATACTTCCTAAAGTACATTTAATGAGGCTGAATAGTGAGGCTGGAAAAGAAAAAAATAAGCCTCTTTTTTCATTTAATGAATAGCATGCTCAAAACAGGAACTCAACACTCAGGTAGCTTGCAATTGAATCCTTGTACAATCCAGAGCTATGTGTGTCACTGAACAAATTCCTTCACATTGTTGTGCTCCTGTTTCTTCATCTGTGATAAAAAGGAAATACTGCAATTGCTTCTAAAATATTTGGACATGGATATTTAGCCATGTTTTTGAAGTACTTACCCTTTTCTTCCAGATAATTCTCCTCAAAATATAATAAATAAAAGCAATCAACAAATGCTGGCAAGGATGTGGTGAAAAAGGAAACTTCAGAGATGATTGAGTGGAATGTAAAGTTGTCCAGCCACTGTAGAAATCAGGATGGAGGTTAATCAAAAAAGCTAAAAATAGACCTACCTTATGATCCTACTATATAATGCTTGGGCATATATCTGAGGAAGTATAGATCAACATATGAGGGAGAAACCTTCACATTCATATTTATTACATTCATATTTGAGCATTATTCACAATAGCCAAGTGATGATCAGCCTAGGTGCCAAACAACCAATGAATGGATTGATTTCTTTCTATACCAAAGAAAATGTGGTATATATACACAATGGAGTATTACTTAGCAATAAAAAGGAGTAGAATTATATTGTTTGCAGGAAAATGGATGGAACTGACACTTGATCATATTGAGTGTCATAATTCAAGCTCTAATAAGCCAAATATCATAAAGTTTTGATATATGTGGAACTTGGAACAAAATGATAAAAATAACTTAAGGGTGTTCAAAGGAGGGGCAAGGTAAATGGAGAGAGCACCAGGGGCTGAAAAGAATTCAGGTATGTTACTTGTATATTCATGGAGATCACATAAAGAAATGCACCAAATATTGTTTTTAAAATTGAGGATGGGGCAAAGAGGCTTGGTGTAATATAATAGAGGGTAGAAATGCTCAAAATACACTGTAAGCATTATGTAATCTTCATGTGAAACCCCTTTATACTATTAATTAATCTTACATAAAAAACAAAGTAAATATTAAGATATAGTAGTCCATGTAGTCTAACATTTTACACTGGTTTTAACTCTGTGCCTCACTTTTGTTAGGCAGACACTCTACCACTTGGGCCACTCCACTAGTCTTTTTCTGTGATGGTTTTTGTTTACATAGGGTCTGGTGAATTATTTGCCAGGGCTAGCTGTGAATTGCAATCCTTCTTATCTCTGCCTCCTGAGCAGCTATGATTACAAGGATGAGACAGTAGGGCCCTGCTTGACTTTCATAAAACAAAATGTTGTCTATAAGATAGTATGACATCTCTCAACCCAATTTTTTTGGTGATGAGTTTTGAATATATATTTTGCCCACAAAATGTATATTCAAACCATTTGCAGATGGTTGAGTTCCTTTTGCATAATTGGTTAGAAAAGGTTAGAAACTGATACATGAAAATTATATGATCTCAAATTCACAATTCAAGTATAATTCTTAAAAGGAACATTGTTCAATCACTTATGCTTTGAATGGATTTTTCTGGTGGATTCAAAAAAAATAAGTTTAGTGAAAAACAAATGTTCATTGAAAGGAAAGTGAACTTATATTCTTTTCCAGTAACCAAGTATTAGGATAAAGCTAAGTCAAATAGGATAAAAAAAGTAGATGTTGATGGGAGTAGAAGTGCAGTAAGACTGTTTTCATTCTATTGGCTTGTTCCATTGGCATATATTTTTGAGGCATGATAAAAATGCAAAATCATTTTGTATAGATAAAGATAGGCATGCCTGTGACTGAACAAGAACTACTATCAAAGGGTTTAGCATAAGAGAAATTCCAAAGGATGTTTAATTTTTCAAATCTTATGGTAGCCATACATATTAGTGTGTGTGTGTGTGTATGTATGTATACACACAAATATATGTACACATATACACACATATATGTATAAACACACATGCATATTTACATAAATGCTTGTTCCATAACCAAGTTTTATTTGTTTTTCTGATTCTCCAGAACATATTCAATGAGCATCAAATGATCATTTCACTACATTTCTGGTAGTTTCAGAATGGGTGCAGTTGATTTCTTTGATTGAAAGAGGTGAAGAAAGTATAAGAAAATTTATGAGGCAGAGATACACAGAAAGAGATGTGTTCATAGCTTAGATATATGTCATCATGTGAGGACATGTTTTGGTGGAAAAGTAAGAATTGAGGATCCCTTAACAAGGATTCTAGAATGGGGAAATATCTCCATCACAAATGTTGACAATTTACTACAAAAAATGTGAAAATTTAATTTTTATTACACAATCTTGGGAACATGACCACTACTTAAGGAAAGTTCAAATTAATCACAAGATTCAAACAATAATAACATTTATACAAAGTATATTAAATATGAATTGTTTTGAACAACATAGCACATAGGAATCACAATTTTTGAAAAATACTGCATGGGAAGCTGACTAAAGCTTTATTTAAAAATATTTTAACACATATAGCACTGTTAACCAAAACAAGAATATTTTCCTCTCTGGTTTCTGACCACACATATTTGGACTGACATCCAACATTTTTATACATTTCTAAAAACGTATTAATTATGAACAAAATTCTCTCCACAATTTTTTCATTGCCTCTTTTACATCTTTGTTCCTCAAACTATATATGATAGGATTTAGCATGGGAATCACAACAGTGTAAAATATTGATACTACCATGTCGTGGTTTGAAGCATAGCTAGAACTTGGTCTCATATAACTGAACAGAATGGTTCCATGATAAATGGGCACTCCAGTTAAGTGAGACCCACACGTAGAGAAAACTTTTTGTCTTCCTTCATCAGAACGCATTCTCAGAATAGCCAACAGGATAAAGCCATAGGAGACCAGGACAATCAGGATAGTGACTACCTCAATAAAGCCCACCAAGTAGAAAAGTAGTAGCTCATTTGTGTGAGTATTGGAACAAGAAATAGCAAGTAGGGGAGGGATATCACAGAACACATGCCTAATTTCATTGGATCCACAGAAGGATAGATTAAATGTGGCTGCTGTGTGTACAGTAGCATGTAAAATGCCACCAACATAGGAAGCAATGATGAGTGGCACATAGACTCTAGGTGACATGCTCACTGAATACAGAAGAGGGTTGTAGATGGCTACATAGCAGTCATAAGCCATTGCAGCCAACAGAAAGCATTCTGTGGTACATAAAGTAACAAAGAGAAGCATTTGTGTTGCACATCCAAGAAATGAAATAGACTTATTTTCTGCTAAGAAATGATCAACATTTTTGGAGTGACAACTGTAGAATAGCAGGCATCCAAGAAAGATAAAACACTCAGAAAATAGTACATAGGGTTGTGGAGCCGAGAATCACTAGTGACTAGAACAACCAGTCCCAAATTCCCTAACAGAGTGAAAAGATAGATGACAAGAAATAATAGAAATAAAAACACTTGAATACCAAAATCATCTGTGAATCCCCTCAATATAAACATGGTGACTTCAGTCAGGTTCTTTAACCTAGTCTCATATATATCCAACTCTGATGACAATTGTTCCATTTCAGTTTTGATTACAGATTCCAAACTAAGTAGCTTCAGTAAACAGAGGTCTTTTAATTATATCTGCATTTGATTCTTAGGACATCTTAGCTTCCTTAATAATAATGAGATAGGCCATGATGAAGAACTTGATGGATCCAAGCATATGAATTTCTCTATAGAAGGGAAAGGAAGAAATAATTTCATTTACTTGGCCAATTTTATTGTGTTAACACATCCTGAAATTAAAGTGATTTTATATTCCCATTAATTGGGGGGATTTCCTATCTTTTCTTCCTATAGCATATTGTCCTAAAATTTATCAATATGCATGAATATATCCATACTTGAATAAAAAATGTTACAATGAAAAACACACCTGGTTAATGACCTTGATATATCACAAAGTACATGAAATACTTTTTACTAACGGATTACAATTTCCAAACTAGAAAAATCACACTTACCTCACAGGTAAATTAAAATGAGAAAAAGCATATCAAAATTCCTGAAAAGTGTTCTCATATAACAACAATAGATATGTTAGACTAACATCTCAATTTGATACATGGAGTGGCCATTTCAAACAAAACCATTTCATGTCTTCTCTTTTTGGCAACTGGCTTGTTCCACTAAAGAGAACCAGAGATTTTATTGTGGAGACAGATGTGCCTTGTTTACAAACAAAAACATTAAAATATTTTGTTTACAATTTTATTTCTACCCTGGTATGTATAATCTGGCTGCCAATTTTTAGGCCTGGTTACTTAACTAAATTACTGCCTATCGAATTTTAAGTTAATAACCATGAAAGACATTTCTCATTTATGCTTACCTACAAAGTCATTAGAGACATATCTCTGTTGAAAATAAGTCATGACTTTTCTTTTAATATGCTATTAGTTTTTATAAGAGTTTCTAAAAATACTATGAACTAAAAGTCATTGATAGTGGCTAATAAAATTATTAAAACTCTTGCTAAAAGAATAAAGTCACTAACTGGCCAGTGGTTGCCCATGCCTGTGATCCTAGCTATTTGGGTGGCTGAGATCAGAAGGACTGTGGTTCAGGCCAGACTTTGTAAGCACATCTCAGACAATAGCTGGGTGTGGTGATACATGCCTCCCATCCTAATCCATGTGGAAGACAAAGATCAGGAGGATCACAGTTCCAGGCTGGCTTGTGCAAAATGTGAGACTCTTATCTCCAAAATAACCAGAGCAGAAAGGGCTGGATGTATGGCTCAGGCACTAGAATGCTTGCTTGCAAGTGTGAAGCCCTGAGTTTAAACCCTAGTACCTCCACAAAAGAAAAAAAATAGTCACTATATTTTACAAAATCAGCCTATAATTTCTGGATATACTTTCTGATATATCACTCTTTTTTCATTCAGTGAGTGTGAAGGAAGAAAACATATGACCGAAATTTAAAAGTGAAGAAAGAAGGAAAATAAAGTTAGAGTCACATGTATCTGACCTAAAAGCCCCTTTTAATAAAAAATAATTTATTGGGTACACTGAGCTGTATTGAGGAGAATTCTATATAGTGATTTTTTCCTTCCATATGTCATAGACTGAAAATATTTTTAAAGGATATTTTAAACTCTGCCATACATAGGAGCAAACTAAATTCAGTGATTACAAATGGTTGGTATTAATAATGTGAAACCTGATAAGTTTTGCTATCTTAAGATGAACATACACCAAGAAGAGAATAAACTGATAAGATTTAGCTACTTTTGGAAAGAAACGGAAGACATGTAGTTATACTACCCTAAGAGTGTCTTTAAAATTGCATGTGAAAGATTTTTTTTCTAATACACAGAATAGGTTAATAAATCTAGAAAAACAGAACCAAACAAAACATTCATTTATTTCTTAGAAAATTCCAGAGCAACCTGCATAAACAAGGTAAAGTTTAATTTAAATTAAATACAGATAATTTACATGTTAAACATGAGTACTCAGAACTTTATTAATGTATAATTTTGCTTGAATATTCATGTTAATAAAATAGCTTCTAAAGACAAATTTGTATAAATGTGCATTTAATGCGTTTTTATTGGCTCAGAAAAATACTTGTTTGTTTAAATTATCCCTATTCTTTGTCTTTTCTTTCCTACTTTCTTCTCTCTCATTCTCTTGCTTTCCCAGTCCCCCTCCCCCCAAAAAGAATTTATATATATATATATTATATATATTATATTATATATATAATATACATTATATTATATATATATATATTATATATATATAATTGTTTACTAAAGATGGTCAGAGGCAAGTAGGAATTAGGAATAAATAAACACAGAGCAAAGAATAATTATGCAACAAATGTTCAAAGATTTACTAATAATCTATGAAGGGAATTCATTATAAAATGGATGCTGATCATCATGTACAAGAAAATGTCAGCTACATTACAACTCAAACTAATGTCTCTCTCAGTGTCTGATGTAAAGCAATTGTGGATAATTAAGAATATATTTGTCTCTCATCTTAAACAAAGTTAGCCAGACTCAGAAGGCCAAAAATCACATTCTCTGTCTCATATGCAGATAATAGACCCAAAACAAATGCAGTAATATTATTGGACATGGGTCACACACTAAGCGGAGAACGTGCACGGGAGGAATAGGGAAAGGGAAGGAAATGTAAAACTTGGATGTGGTTGATGTGCCCACTGTATAGGAGTGAATATAGCAATCTTAAACTCCCAGACGCCAGTTTGGGAAGGGGACCAGGAAGTAGTGAAGAGGTCTGGTAGAGATGAACCAATGTGGATTGCAATACACATGTGAATGGAAGCAATGATAGGAATCTCTCTGTATAGCTATCTTTATCTCAAATTAGCAAAAATGCTATTTCTTTCTTATTATCCCTTATGTTTTCTTTTCAACAAAATCTTAGAACAAGAGGGCAGAACAAGTTTTACCCAGAACTGGGTAGGGAGGGGATCCTGGGGGGAGGGCATGGCAAATAATATATACACATGTCATGTGAGTACATGTAAAATGATAAAATAAAAAATAGAATATATTTGTCTGTAAACCATGATTCTAAAATCTCATACTCATACATATGAGTTTGGAAACATTATTTCCTCTTCTAAATAAAAGAATAAGATTAAACTTTTCAACTTCATGAGCATGGAGTAATCGTAGAATGCCATTTTATGAAAGGTGATAATATTTTAGTGAATGAAACATTTTATCATCTGTGAAGAGTGTGTACACATGAAACATGTCTTCCAAGTTTTATTCATGTAAAAATGGTAAAGTTGTACAAAATGATTGTTTTACTATACTTTGGACAATGAATGAATGTTCACAAAATTGGAAACATTTTTGTTTTTATGTTTTATATACATTTGCTATGTGACTATAAGTTTACAACTATTAAATAGTATCCCATTGAGAGTAAATCCAATGACTCTATATCTACATGCCAAATTTAAAAAATGTATCTTTTTCATTTTTTCTGCCCAAAGATGTCATTAAAATAAAAGTATGTTTACTTAACTTCCTCTGATACTGTTGCCAATATAATTTTCTAGTTAATTTAATGTCTTTGATTTTGGATGTAAAACAAGAGGATGTTTTATGAATTGACATGTATATTACACCAAATCATGTCTCATTAGAGCATTTATCTACTTCCTGGTGGGAACAATAGACATGATAGGGGAAATATAGTTACTTTATCCAACATACCTGTCAAGCATATATTTCTATTAACTTATATTTAACAATTCCAGAGATGATTTATTTATGCCTACCTAATTTCCTTTAAAACAAATAGAGTAAAAATGCAAAGTTTATGTATAAAGAATTTTTAACTATTATATGATCAATATAGAAAACTAAAATTTAAAAAATCAGTTTCTCAACTTTGCTGGTCAATCTTATTTCTCAACTTTCCATAACAATCCTATTGCAGACAATATACTTACGATACACAGTTCAAAGAAGTCATGGCATATTATTAAACCACTATAAGGGGCAATATATTGTGTGTAATTTTCATCTGTGATCTACATACCAAACTTCAAAATGCATCATATAACATATTTTGTACATAATAAAACTGAGGCCCACTGAGACATGTAATTTTATCAGGTCAAATTGTTGTTTAATAAAAACACAGAATTCAAACTTAAATTTCTCTTACTTCACCCCAATGTAATTTCTTCCTTACCATATTTCCAACTCACCATTAAAGCTGAAATTATGGAATAATATCCCTGAAAAATTATATTAAACAGCATACCTCTTGATTTATAAAAACATAATAAGCATAATAAGGTATGGAATGTGAAAGAAATTTAGTTGCTTTCAAATTATCTAACCAGTAAAATAAATTTAAGATTTGAATTACTACATAAGAAAACAAAACTAAAGAAAAATGAACCAAAAGTGAAATATAACCAACGGCTCATTTAAAGTTAATTTTATCCCTCATTATCTTAATGGCTATCTTTCATCAAAAACTTAAAGCACATTTCTAAGTTACAAATCTATCTATTAGCCAAAATGTCTAGGAACTCTTCATCTTTTTCCTTCTATGTTTCCACAATTTCTTTGAATTTGCAATTCAAAACTTTGAGCTTAATAGAATCTTGCCTGTTATATTTATATATGTAGGCATATATTTACTTTCAAATGCACTGCTATAACTTTTAAAATATTTTAAAAGTGAAGCAAAGTCCCTTCTCTTACCCATGAAAAAGAGCTTCTCACTCAGTTAAGAAATGCTATGCATACTACACAATTGGATTCTTCATCCTAACTCCTCAAACACCTGAGGTCCACAGGGAGTCCTCAGTGAGGAGCAATATTTTATTCTGGGAATGTGTCAAGATGATTGTGTCCTAATAAAAAAGTGAGTGGTTCCAGAATAATGAACTACAGGTTGAAAATGATTACCTAAAGTAACTTTGGATTTCAATTTTTTAAAAGATTCCTTAGTGGGAAAATTATAATTATACATGGCAGAGTTTTTCCTAACTCTAATACTTTTTTTTTTGAT